AGCCACTGACTCCAACTCCACGGCGACATGGCTCAGGAAAACGCCATGTAAACCCGGCGCAATAGGCTCTGCAAGGAAGGGGAAACTACTGACATCTTTCGCAATTAAAAAGAACATCATCAAGCTTTCTCCACAGAATGTGTAGACTCCAAGTATCGGTCAAAATTAGCGGCAACTATAATAACAACAGAAACTCGCATCACGATTCGCATAGCAGGTCTGCCGATTTCGCCTCTCCTTAGGATAATACCGTCTTTAACACACAACCATACCTTTGTAGGCGTATGGCCAAAGTGTACAAAGCTAAGTTTTCAGTTCACTCCAATTAGCCATGACTTGAAGAGAGCGTCCACCGTCAACTTCCGTGACCGCAATGGTGCTCGACCAAGCGACAAGACACCGACCAAGAAGGCGTGCTCTACAGCTTTCCATCCCAGCGTCAATCGCAATGCCTATTCTTTATGCCTCGGACTATCTCGAAAAAGCAATGCCCGCTGAAACCATCAAGGCGTCTATAGGATTAAGTATACAGGACACCTGAGACGGAAGCCAAGAATGCCACAGACTTCAAACCCCAAAAGCTAAACGCCACAAAATCCCCACGATCAATGTACAAGCTACCTCGCAGACCTTCGTCTACCCCTCCTTTCAATCACACTCGTAGGTAGTACACAACGATATCGATCCAAGATATGGTAGACCACGTTCTAGGCCCGTGGTCCAAAAAGTCAAAATTGTATAAATCGACGTTGTGATACCGCCCGCACCCCCCTCCGACGCCGAGCCCATTTCATCCATCACGGCGCTCATTGGCTCACTAATCCCCCCTTCCACCGCTCTAGATCTCTTAGGTGGTAGGACAAGGTTTTTCTTCTTCCGCAGAGCGTGGCTTTCGAGATAAGACCGCCACCTTTTTTTTAAAAAAAGCCTTCTACGGGTGGATTAAACTGAGCTGTTTTCAAAAGCGTATATAGCGCATCAAGCGCCTTGAATCACCCTGGGGCACTCCCCACCAGACTCAACTCGCGATGAAGAACACTTTCAGCACCCTACCGGCTCAACTCTACCAGACCCAGAATTTCGATTCAAGGCTGCCAAAAGGTCGGCAATCGTGTCACGTAACAAACCCCAATTGTTTTATACGGTTCGTACCGAATCGACACCGTTTTTCGTTGGTCTATGGGGCTTGGCGCTGGAACGTTGTATCAGAGGTAAAATCCCAAATGGAACTCTGCCCTCAAGAAATTCGAATTGCTCTTCCGTAGCAAAACCAACATTTAAATTTCTGGGAGTGAGAACTTTGCGAAGCAACAATACATAGCCGTCCACATGTCTTCATTCTTATTCTGTTCGATGCGGGGGATGTCCTACATTTACATTAAGCCGTATCTTAATCCTCATGAGGGTCTCTCTGTTTGACCTGTTAACAACCCCTGCTTCGAATTAAGTTTCGATACCATTTGAACATTACTAGACTCGCGGTAGTATATCGCCCCTTCGTCGAGGGTTTCCTCAATGCCTCACTTTTTTCCCCCTTGACGGCTTGAAGATTCCATAGTGAGCTACCATCATCTATTTCTAGAGCTCTCTATCAGAATCCTCTGGCATACGACGCCAAGACGGATATCCTCACAGCTTCCATTTGATCACTTTGGAGCGAAAGATAACATCGTCTTGGCGGGTTGGTATACAGGGCAAAAAGTTTGATCTTTTGTCCAACGTTTTCTCTTGGCGAGAGCGACTACCACTCGGATCCATGAGAACCTGGGAAGGGAGGAGTTCCATCTCTCTCCCAGCTTCACATCAAATCCCTCAAGTGATGACGGTCTCCTTGCACCTGGTACCTCTTGATCAATCAAACTGACTTGGCTACCTACCTTACTCTCCGGCACTGACTCGTTCATCACGATTCCTGAGACAAACGCATATGCACACTCCATGCCGTCGTCCGCTTTCAGCTCTCAACGTCCTGCAAGGGCGTTCGGCTGCTCGGCACCCTCCGATTCCATCCTTGGATACATCATACCGACGGCAGGTCCCCTCTTGTGTGTATGCTCTGTTTGAGAGGCCAAGATACAGATCGATCTCGCATCTCAGAAGATAGACAACTTTGGGTAAGGGCAGATACCTCACGTGAAAGGCGCGCCTCGAGGATCTGGATATTGAAGACAAACAGGCCTTGTCCAACGACTCATTACGTCCCACGACCGAGCGACATAGTCAGGGCTCCCAGCTCCTCGGGATCTGGAAAGTCGGGGGTATACACTTGCCAGAAGAGAGCTGAAGACGGAAAGCAATCCCGATTCACATTTGCCCTTTGGAATTGGGGGGAAGGGAGGGAGAGGAGGCAGGCAGCTGGAAACTCGACAGCGGCACAAGATCCGAGCCCACCGGCCAGCTTACCATCGGAGTCTCCTTCCATAGACCTTCTTCATGCACTTCTAGCTAACCATGGCGTCTCTGAATCGACGGTGATAGGGAGTCATCTATACTACCTACTGCGTAAATAAAGAGCCGATAACGTCGTGCCCGCTTTGCCGCATCAAGCGTCCGATCCTTTCAAAGTCTCTGGTCGCACAAAGCAGATGATCCAGTGGGTTGCCGAAAAAATTCCTGTGGTGTGTTCGTGGCGGTCACTCAAAGGGCAGCGGCGGCGGCGGCGTGCGGCGGCGGTGTTGCCCACCTTTTCCCCCTCCCCTCCTTTTTTTCTCACCCATAAGCCCATTGCAAGTTCTAATCCCTGGCTTTTTTTTTCTGCGCTCCTGCGCGTCAGCTTTTCGTCAGTTTTGTGCTGTGCTGGGATAGGATAGCCTTCTTGGTGCGTTCGGTAAACGCGAAGAAGAAACAAGTCCGTCGCACACACGCATACGCATACACACACGCATTGGTCCACCGTCCGCTTGATAGAGCTGTAGCTGGGTATGGCTCTTGATGATTTACATCAAAAGACGTGCTTGGATCGGCGGTGAGAGTAAGAGGCACAACATCGACGACGCCCGAGGTTTACGGGGATTTCCCGACCTTGGCTGTGCCGCTTGGGGTCTGAAAAAGAGATTCGTCTCCAAAAATTTGGGCCTGCCTTTGCGACCATGTCAGCAAAGTGTGCCTATTACGCTACACTACTCTGCGCCAACAGCAATTTGAATTCGTCAGACGTGCAGTTCACGGTAGGCGTTCAGGCAGGAGTGGGCCAGTTTATACGGCCACCGTTATGTACGCCTCAGGTAAATTCATCTCCATACAAGACCACTTAGATGGCGGGAGTTGTAAGCTGTAGGGCGTTGAAGCTCGTCGAGTTGATACGGATACAAATCCTAGTGTAATCATGGTCAGCTTCCCGGGGATAAACGGCGTTGAGTCGACTTCTTTACCTTGCTTTGCGCCGGATACTATATCAGGCTGCGCGGAAGCTGGGCATGTTTACTCGTTACTCGGCAACTTTAGGCGAGAGGGGGCGATTGCTTAACAAGATAAATTTACTAAGCCTTTTCTGGGTGTGATCCAACGTGCATTTCTGACACCAAAAAAGACGGTACCTGTGACCAGGGATCTGGGGAACCAGGGTGGTCGGCTGGTTATCATTTGCCAACTTGCCATATTACTCGAAGGGACTGGTTGGGCCGTGAAACGGAGACAACCCCGCTGACATGACCGGGATGCCGGACGCTAAAGGAGTTGTCGGTTTGGCTCGGCTGCTCCCGGTCAACAATCCACCGAGTTTCTCTCCCCCCTTGAGCTCCTTAGTCGAAGGAAGTCAAGGCATGGAGGAGTCTGCAGTTTTGCATACCCTAGGTCCGGGTACTATGCAATGGAAGCCGGAGGGTCTGTGTGTTGGAATATGTCGGACCATTGAGTCCTCTCTTCCTTCAGCTGGCCTTGAGCTCGAGGGTCAATCTATTCAAGACAAGTTTCCCCGGTATTCGGTCTGCGTGATCGACGGTGCCAACACCATGATCCTATGGCGCAGCGTACCGATGGGACGTGCATGGCACGATTGGAAGCGACATGTTTCGTGATCGTCAGTTGGGCGTCAATGGCCTCTTACTCATTGCGGGTGACAATGTGAAGATCAGAATCATGCTTCAAAAGCTGCCCAAAAGGCGTCTGATCGGCACCGGTGATATGAGCTCTTATCTGTGTGTTCAACTCGATACTTGGAATGCCCTCTGACTGAGATTGTGCCTCTGTTGAAATCGAAATGGTCAAGAGGAAGTCTTGGGGCTGGGCGGTCCGTCTTCATCGGGATAGTCGGAACAAGGCCAAAAGTTGCGAATGAACCAATTAGCTGTTCAACGTGCTTGAACAGTCCGACGTGCCTTGTGCTCTTGGACCCTTTTACTGTCGTCAAGCTTCATGCATATGTAGCCCAGCAAAGACTCAGAAGGAAGATCGCGCTACACGCGTGTCTTTGATCTCAATGTAACAATGGATAAAACGTGGCGCGGGGAATGTGAGTTTGTGGAGGGTGGTAGATGGATGTTCGACTTGAGCAGAGCCGAAAAGGAGCATCTAGATCCGAAGGGATGGCCATGATAGGTGCCACGAGTGCTCATGATGTGCCAGTGTCAGACATGGTCAGCAAGCCAAGAAGCGCGATTGGGTACTCTGCTGACAATTGAAAAGTCCTCTGTCTGAAGTCGCATTGAAAAAAAAGTCACACCGTTGCTGAATTTAGGAACTCTTGCTGGTATTAATACGCAGTATCTCGAGCAGCAGTTCCTCGATTTCGATACGCGTTGCTGGCTGGTGCCGATTTGACTATCCAGGCCTCCTTCAATACGAGCCAATACGAGCTGCTAATGTTTCATCAGCTTGGGTCGACAATGGATTGAGTCCATCGTTGTAGGTGGAAAATAGTTTCGGGATTTAAAATCCTCCGGTCTGCAATCTTGCGCCGAGGATTTCCAATGACTGCTGAGTAACGTCTGCAAATCTTGTGAAGCGTGGGATACCGCATCCTGGTGTAGTGTTTGCTGGCCGATGGGATTCAAAGACGTAACTTAAACCTTTCGCCAAACTTCCTTGTACCGCGCCCATTGTCGGAAACCTTTCCAGCCAAATTAGTAGGACGCTTTCTCGCACAATCATCGCACTTACCCAGAGATTGGAAACCGTCGTCCCCTCCCTTCATGCCGTCGATGAACAGTTGTCGCATGCCTTGCTCAGCCAACAACTTGACACACATATCGAGCAGCCTGATCATCACAGAGTCCCGGCTGTTCACCATTTCGGGATGGTCATCTGAAACAAGAGTCAGCAGGAAAATCCACTAGATATGTTTAGCGTGACTACAAACCTATGATGCAAATGCAGGTAACTCCCCCCGCATCCGCGCCAATGGCTTTCGCCCACGGCAGGTCGTTGCCGGCTGGACTCCCAGAATTGGGAATATAGGTCAAAGCAACAGCTACGATAGTGTCACCTTCCAGACCGAGGACGACATCCTCAATGTGAGGTGTGCCGTCCAGGTTGCAGTATTGGTCGTACCATCCCATATTATCTTTGCGAGCCACGTCTCGACTGACAATTGCTAGAACCTGGTGGTACTCCATCATGTCGCATCGCCTGAAAGTCAGTCCAGCTGACGAAAAGCTCTTTGCGGGCATGTCTTCGAATTTGAGGAGCCAGTCTGAGACCTCCTGTCCTTGGCCAGGCTGGAACCCATCCATATTCCAGCCTCGTCGTGAAAACCAGTCTCGTGAGAAGAAATCAGACGGCACGCCGTACAAGAGACGCGGAAAGGCTGATCCCAGTTGCAGCCTGTTGACGCCTCGGGTTCTCTGGAGCTGTTTAAGGGCATAGTTATGTAGTGTTAATCCGACACCTCTTCCGCGATATGAGTTCTTGACAATCAATACGGCTACCGAGCCGAGCAGATTCTCTTGCCCCCCATCTGGATACGTGGTAAATGTAGCGCAGAAGCCCACAATCTGCTTGTTTTCTGGTTCGCGCACGACATAGTGCCTGGAAAAGCCATCTCTCTGGAGGAGCAGGACAAGCTGGTACTGCGGAAGATGAAATTTGGGTGGAAGGCATTCCGTCCACAACTGATGGATAGGGCCCATGTCTATACCGCAGACTTCGACATCCCAAGTTCTTGGGGCGATGATGAGGTTTTGTACGGGAACTGAGCTGATGGTAGGTGGACGAACGTCGTCAAAGATGATGGAAGCAGCAGCTTCTAGCTCAGATGGCGAGTAGCCTGTGATTTGCACAAGCGTAGCAAAGTGGTCGACGTGGAGGTTCTGGATTTGGAGGTTGCAGCAAGCTACTATGATCTGCGGTCGCTCGTCTGCCATTGTTCGTGCGGCATCGGCCAAGTCGATTTGCGAGACATCATCGTCTACATGAGCTCCAGAGATGACAAAGACGATTGCTTTTGCCCTTTTGATGAACTCGTAGTGAACGTTGGTGATGCCGCCTCTTTTCGTATATGGCACATGGCGGACCAATGAGTGCCGCGAAGCAATGGCACGGCCCAACGGTTCGAAGGGATCCTTGTCGTTGTCTGCGAATCTATTGTGAGGAACAACAACAGGCGTGAGCAGGACGATTATGTCGTCTTCCGATAGAATTCTTCTCAGGGGGATACAGTCTTGTCGGTCCCATAGTAACATGGTTGGGGTAGTTTGTGTAGACTTTGGGCTTTTCTTAGACGTGACATGGTGATCGATCTGCATTTCCGGAGAATACCTCATGGCGGAGATGGTCAGTTGCGGTCTCTTCAGCTCATCCCTATGTCAAGTCAGCGCGCGGTTACACAGATTAGCGCCGTGTAAGGTGAGTAAGCGTCAGATGGGAAGCGGTGGCTTTTTGGACTTACTAGGCCCGTGTAAGAGGGATTCCGTGCGAACGGCATGAGACGACTCGTTTGCTGCTCGTCCCGTCGCCAGGTCCACTCTGCCACGATGTTACGAGCCAGCGCACGACAGCTGCGGCTATTGACGATGGGCCGACCCAGAAGCGCAATCGTCTGCTGGCCCAGTGTCTAGCTGGTTAAAGAGATCTTGTTGAATAGAGAAGATTTGAGTGATGGGCCAGATGTAAGACGATAAGCACTAGGGCACGTCAAGGCGAAAAAGACGTGAGCTGGAATGGTTCGGTGTGTTCTCTGCGTTGCTAGAACAACAGAAGAGACCAGGATAAATGTCGAAAGTAGATAAGATTGAGGAATATATCCTCGACTGTTCGATGTTGTCGCGAAGCGCTGACTATTGTTGTCATTCAACTTGCTCAAGGAGACTAAACGTCAATCAACTCGATGGCACCTGGCACCTGGGCAAGCAAGTCTTGAGGGAATAACCAGACTAAATGTTAGAAGACACATATTTACAAACGTGAGGATTGGTTACACATACCTCAAAGGGCTGGGAGCAGGGCCGCGTCTAAGAGGACGATAGACTCGACAGAGATCTTTAACTTGATAGGTGTGGGAGGAAGTGCATGAGGGCAGTAGAGAGAGTGGGGTGTGCAGCAGAGGCGACCGGCCGAGGGCACGACCAGGCCGAAGGGACAGCACAACACAGCCAGTCAGCCGGATTTCCTACAAAGATGGGGACAGATGGGCAACATGGAGGGGGAAATCTTGAAAGAGGATATGCATGGAGGCATCATCAGCAGATGCATAACTTGAGAATGGGTATGTCAGAACGAGTAGGACACGAGGTGAAAGACGCCCAGCGGTCAAGGTCGAGGGCCCTCCAAGATTCCTCACCGTGGGTGGTGGGTCTTTGTAGCAGGTTACCAAATCAAGGGCTCTGTGGTTCCTGGTCTGGGGGACACTCGTCTGACTGATGCAATAACCAAGTTGGTTGTAGGGATAGAGAGAGGTGTGCACGCGTGCGTACGTGTGTGTGTGTGTGTACCCATGGAATGAAGAATGGTGGGAGGGAGGGAAGGATGAATGGACGGATGGATCCAATGTAACCGGCGCGGTACGGAGCGGTAATGCGTCCGTCACCCTTAGCTTACTAGGTACTCTGGATGAAGTTGCTCTTGGATCATGGATGGAAGGGGGCATAACGGAGCGTTGACGGACGGATCTTTTACCTCGATGTGCTGACCACCAACCGAGCCTTGCAAGTGCCACTTAGCAACATGAGGGTTATTAGAGAAGGTTACACAACGCTGCTGCAGACGAAATTGGCGTCCGGCATGCGGCGTGCGGCGCGCGGCGTATAGTGACCACCACCTCGAGGTAAGGTATCCCGTAAGGTGAGGTGAGATGGGCACTGCGGTAAGCAGACGCCACTACACATGACGGCCGAAAGGTGACACAGAGCCAAGCCCATGCTGCGATAGATTGGACCTCAAGGCACACTACGCTGTCATGGAAGGTCGCGAAGCCCCCACGGCAGCGGGTGAAGGTGGTCCAGTCTGCCAAGGAGAGAAGTCAAGACGGAACAATATTAGCTATCGGTGTATGCGGTCTGCCTCGATCATTCGTCCAGGTAAAGTCGCCGCTACTAGTGGAAGCCCGCTTGCGGCTTGCTATCGTCGCCTGTCATCCGTGGCCATGGTTTTGGAGCTCCCGACCAACAAGTGCCCTGGACAGGCCCGCTGAAAGGAGAAGGTCCCAGGAAATATAGGAGGCTTGCGTAGTTCTAGCAGGGCCGGCTTTGGGGGGAGTTTGTGTGCTTGTCGGGGTGTGAAAAATAGGGTTTACCGGGAGAATCCTACCGACGAAAAGGGACGACGAAAAGGCGGCACAAACAGGGGAGATGCCCATGCCCAGGTTCATTCGGTCCTCTCTCGGCTGTGGAGACATCGGGCCGCGACTGATAATGATATGTGAGGTACAGAGCGAGAAATCCGAAAGACACATGGCGAGCAGAGTCGTCGCTCGGATGATTTGATCAAACGAGGGAGAGACGTTACATAACTGGGAAGAGTTGTAAGGCCCGGACACGGTCAGTCTGTCCTGACCTCTGGTCTGTAGGCAGTGTTGATGCGGACCTGGAACGATGTCAGTGACCAGACCAAAGTGCAGTGAGGAGTCATGAGACCTGAATCGACACCTCGGCCACCGTGGTCTTGAACAAAACATGCGGTCAGAAGTGGAGGCGACAATGATCTCGCGCACCAAGGTGGAGGTTTGTAAGAAGCACTGGACCTCGGAGAAGGATGTGACGGGGCCAGAGAACAGAAGGATTCTTGCGAGGTATTTGCGTAACCAGTTTGTGGAACAGCAGGTAAAAGATGGCACTACTGCGTAGATTATGTTAGGGATGAGGCGCTTCTGACGCCTCGGTCAGCGAGCTTGGCCAGATGAGGGCAATATTGGAGCCAGTTGTATTTCTGTAGGATGCGACTGTTGGAGGTTGCAGGTTGTTTCGAAGCAACCCTGTCATTGAGAGGCAGCTACCTACGCAGTAACGCAGTAGTTGTCCAAGGTAAGGCAAGGTAAGCAGTGTTGGTGTTGCGGTGAGAGACGTTGGCGAAGGGAAGGTAAGCAACTAAGGTAGCCGTGGGTAGTAGGCGCGAGGTCAGAGGTTACGCAGGAACTTGGCGGGACGGAGCGTCGGGATGGCGGTATACAACGGTGAGCACGGGCGTCTCTGGAACGGGTATGCAGTACAGAAACGTTCGCACCTACGGTACCTTAGTACTTGAGGTAGGCACCTAACGGTCCAGGATGTCATCGGTCGATAGGTACGTCTCTTCGTGCCGTAGTCGTACCTTTTCTTTCCGTAAAGTACATCACATAAGGTACCTTGGCCTCTAAGACTTTTGACCGGTTCGTCGCATTATCTCACGTTCGCCTCGGACTTTCCCTGACGAAAAGAACAGACTCTTTCGTCTCCATGCCAAAAGACGGGAAGCCATGTCGAGATACCCTGCCATACATGGGCATCATGCGCCCTACTGTGTAAGCAAATCCACTTTAATATCTTCCTACCATACTGGGGGCCGTGCTACTCTCCTCTCTCCAGGCGCAGACGTAACCAGTTGCAGATCGCGGTTGCAGCAAATGATACTTTCAAGTTGCCTTGTGTAACCCCAAACAAGACCATGAATATCCCTCTTCCTTCCCTTTTGCTACTACCGTGCATGTGTACCTGCCTCTTGTCGACAGTTCCTACCCGAACCCCATAGCCGCGACGTAAAAGCTAGGAGCAGGCCGGGTAGAAGCGACATCATTCGCAACCCGAGCCGGATCGTCTTCGTCATCTTTTTCCATGAACCTGCTGCAAGCCCGCGACTCTCGACTTTTTGGATGACTGCACCTCATATCTCACATCAGTCCCCCCGCTATGGACCCCAGAGACCAAATGAGCGGCAGCCATGGCAGCCAAGACGGCATATGCGCCGCTTACGGTCCGGAAGGTTTGCCACGACGTTAATGGCCAGCAATTGGATACCCCCAACCAGACCGGTGAGCATCTTTTGCAACTGCTCAGGCTTGCCCGTTTGCTGTTCCCCGCCGCCCACAGAGACGAAGTTTTGGGGTCCAAATCACCAAGGCCGTATTCGTACCGGAGCAGATATCCATCAATCAGCACGGGGGCAAATTTCAACTGTGGTCAGATTCTCAGGTCATGGCATGCCTTCTCTGCATGCTCTCCATTTACCCGCAGGACCTAGACAGCGGTGCAACAACACAGGGGCTCTCGCCTGGCCTCATCGCCCGGCCTCGCCCAACCCTTCACCGAGGCGTGCTGCTGCTGATGCCTCCCTGTCCCGCGCACATTCGCGCTCCTTACGGACACTGCTGACCGAAAGCCCGCCCCCACATCGAATCCGACACCTTGTAAGGAGTCAAAGACAGCTCTGCTGCTCCGGTTCTGGGCCTGCATCTGTTTTAGCGAATTGCTGAGGATGGAGCTTGCTCCGGCCAGTGACCCCGGACGCTGGGCGCCGAAGAACGGACCCATACCGGCTCTATACAGCCAATAAGGGAACGGACCCATAAAAGTGACAAGGTCTGAGTGCACGGTGCAGTTTTCCCGGTCTGGACGCACTCACCTTGATCTTCACCCCGCGACGCGTCTGCCACTCTCATTCACCGTTCTGGACAGCTCGGGCCTGCCAACCCATGCTGCGACTTGACGACGCTTGACCCGCCTGCCTCATCTAATGTCGCCACACTGTATCCATCCATTGGAAATTCGGCACAAACAGAGTGTCGCAATTTCAAGACGCCGACATACCTGTTAGAATGGCTTCGCTCACCAACGATACGTCTATGAACATAGACGTTGACCTTGACGTTGACCTCCTGATTGGCGATGTTGTGGAGGGTGAGTAAACCCCCTCACATGTGCAAGCCGTGTATAGACCCAAGTCTAATTCGTACAGCTTCCAAACTGCCTGCAAAACGGCGGGCGACCAGCATCAAGCCTACTGTTGAGAAGGTCGCATCATACGCATTTGAAAATGGCCTTCTTCCCGACTCCTTGAGCGAACTCATTGACCTACTCACGAGGCCAAACCTGTTGGATCAGGCAAGCTTGAATACAATACTCAAGAATCTTTACCCCGCTACTCGGCTATCCAGTGATGTCGTCCTGAGGGTTGTGGGATGCCTCGGCCATGGGGAACTGAAGCCTTCCCTGGTTCTGCAGTCGAACATTCTGAAATGGCTAATCATGGCATACCACGTCATCGAAAAACCTGCCATCTTGTCGCAAGCCTACGCTGTTTTGTTCAATTTGCTAGATACGGCAGCCATTCGGTGCGGAATTTTCCTCTGTTGCGAACGGAAAAGGGGCTAACACGACTCCAGACCGCAACTTTGCCATCTACTCGCCTTGATCACACGCAGAAAACACGTCCGGCCTTTTAGGATCCAAGCTGTGTAAGTTGGTCCCTCTGCAATCGCAGGTGGTTCTCGGCGCTAATGGCACATCTCAGCCTCAACCTCTCCAGACAAACAGGGAATGACCCAGCATTGACAGGGCTCCTCCGGGTCTTCAAAGACTACTATCCTGAAATCATCGTCAGCGATGCCTTGAGGGGCAGGGCCTCGGCATTCAAGGTGAGAGGTGCCACGGCATTCAAAAGGTATTCGTACTGATTTGGTAGCACCCCGACGTGGAATGGCGCGAAAGGTTGAACCAGATCCAACATGACCATTCTCAACGGACTGCCGAAGCAGCCAGTCAGCCTCAGAACGGCTTCAGCGTCAACCATCAGGCTCTACGGGCCCGCGGCAATAAGTCCTCCAATCTCCCTCCTGTCTATACTTCAGAAGCCACAGAGGTAAGCGTTCGGAAGAAACACAGCCAGATAATGATGTGCCTGGCTAACAAGTACAAAAGACCTCCGTCACTCTAGAAGAGATTGATAGCGCCGATCGTCTTGCTCAGACAGTCGAGAAGATTGAGCTACCCAACCAGCTTGCGGCCGTACTAGCGGATCCCCTCTTGCAAAAATTCGTTGCCCTGAAAAAGGATGATGCTGCTTCAAAGCGCGTGGTTCATTGGATCGATGCCGTGCTCGAAGACGTGCTCAACGGTCATGCCGATGACAAGTCGTTTGCGGAGACGATGGAAATGCTGGAGGAATACGTGGCTCGTGTTAAAGTAAGTGTGGCAACCGGCCTTGGTTGAGTCTCGCTGACTGTGTAGGAAACTCCACCGGTCGTCTTGCAATTTTTGACGAAATTATTCACGACATGGAACGGCGTTGATGCTCGGGGTTCCATCCTAGGCATCCTCCAGTACGCGCCTCTCGTGGTGTTTGATGGCAAGCGTTTCAACCTCGTTTTCTTCATCAACTTTGCTGACTGTGTAACAGAGCTGTACAATGTAATTCTGAGGCCACTAGAGAAGTGCCTCCCTCCAACGGCCGAGTCGCAGCTAGCACTGCTCAAACTTTACCAAAACCTCCTCCGTCGCTGGACCTTTGTTCTCAACTCGCTTGACCAAGTACCCAAAGATGCCCCCGTCAATGCCTTTTTCGCAGTCATGGAGCACGCAAGCATCATCGCCCTCAACGTTGTCCAAGCTTCCCCCAGCGCGGCTGTCCACGGCGGTGTCCTTGACCTGTATGAACAGGCTGCCGCCAGCATCTCTGACCCTACACTTCAACCTCTCCTCCGCATTGCCAATCCGCCCGCGCAGCTCATCTACCTCCTCTTCTTCAGCCACTCCCTAGCAAACGTGTCGCGCCTGTGCACCGTCCTCGCCATATACAAGAAGGGCTTCGAGATGGCCATGTCCAGGCGACAGCCGACAACGTATGCCCCGAGCTACGTGAACCATTTCAACGGGTACCTCATGGACATTTGCAACTGCCTCTGGCGCGGCAAGGCTTTCAACGATGGCGATAAGAACGCTCTCGGCTGCCTTAGCGCGGGCCCCGTCACACAGCGGCTGCGCAGATATGTCGAAGACCTGGGTATGGACCTTGCGCTCCCGACGCTGTTTGGGTTCTCCTACTCGCCGCTTTTGAGCTTGCAGGCCATTGAGTGTATCCGCGAGCTGGAGGATCGTGAGCTAGCTGCGAACGAGGACGCCATCTCTACACGGCACGCGGGGCCGGTGACGTCAAACAGTTTAGCAAGGTTGGCAGACGCAAGGGGGTTGCGCATCACTTGGTCCGAGTATAGGATCATTGTTCTGCGGGCATTGGAGAGCAAGGGGTTGGGCGGTATCCCGTCGTTGATGAAGAATACCATGAAGGTCCTCATGAGCTCCAAGAGTACCACATAGAGATACCCTGTTGCCATGACACGGCTCGGCTCATGCCGGCAACAGGCTCGGAACATCTGCATTTATGATACCCCCTTTTCGGAGATGAGTAGCGCAGTTTTAAAGTAGATGTCTCTCTGACATTCTATTGCATGACCTGTTCATATCTGTCTAGTTGAGTCGACAGCTGATCCACCTTCCAAACGTCACGCCTCCCTTTTTGGTTGAAGACATAGGGTATCTCTGAAGCCGTGGAAATCCTAAAAGAAAATAAGTCCATGAGGACTGTGCCCGTCCCCTCGTTGAAGAGGTCTACTACATGACCAAACGCCGTCACCGAGCGAGGCCGGTTGAGAGTGCCCCCTTTTGTCCCCCCCCCCCCCAGTCCCCCCCCCCTTTTTTGTTGAAGAAAAAAGGTTTTCTTCAAGACGGGGAAAACCTAAAAAAAAAAAAAGCCACGGGGGCTTTGCCCCCCCCCCCCTTTAAAAGGGCTTCTACAAGACCAAACCCCCCCCCCCGGGGGGGGCGGGTGGGGGGGCCCCCCTTTTTCCCCCCCCCCCCCCCCCCTCGTCTGTATCATGACCTTTGTGCCTTTCTCTGTATGCCGTGGTCTAAGTTGAAAGACACACCGATGCGGTTATCGACCCCCTTGGTCGCTGCATCACAATGTTGAAAACCAAAAACGCACAAACGCCGTCCCTAATGCAGTTGAGTGCCGTAGACGCCGTTCTCTCTAGCAAAAATGCAGACAGAAATCTTGAAAAACAACCCAAATTGTTGAATCACGCCAATCACGAGCCAACCCCCCTCCGCTGCTCCAAACTCTCGTCAAAACATGAATAAGCTTATTTCAGCTTGTCAGACTCGTCGCCGTAGCCTCCAACGCCGCCAGTCGCGTACGTCTTGCCCTCAGGCGCGACCCTCGCCTGCGATCTCGGGCCGCGGTCCTTGAGATCCTTGCGCAGCCAGCCGAGGACCAGCTCGCCGAGGGTGCTGTTGCCCGTGGAGCCGTCGAGGCCCTCGATGAACTTGTCGGCCGTGTCCCACTCGCGGACGGTGCCGAGGTGCATGTGGACCAAGTGCGTCGGCCAGCCGGCGAGGTTGTCGAGGATGTGCGTCGCATAGACGATAGTGCAGTCGCGGATCTCCGTCTCGCGGCGCAGCCAGGCGAGGAACTCGGCACGGCTGAGGACGTCGAGGTCGACGGTGATCTCGTCGAGCAGGAGGATGGTCCAGGGCCGGATGAGGCCCATGGCGAGCTGGACGCGGCGGCGCTCGCCGTCCGAGACGGCGTGCATGCGCCAGGCGGTGTCGATGTCGAGGACGCTGACGAGCTCGTCGCGGCGGTCCGGGTAGGCGTCGCCGCCGACCGACCTCAGGAGCTCGAGGACGCCAATGTCGGTGCGGACGATGGGGTTGAGGACCCACTCGAGGCCGAGGTAGGTGACGCCCTCGAGGCCGTCCTTGAAGGGGTCGATGCCCGCGATGGAGATGCCGCCCTGCGGGGCGAGGCGCTTGCCGGCGAGGAGGCGGAGGAGGGTGGTCTTGCCTGCGCCGTTGGCGCCGATGAGCAGGGTGCGGGAGCGGGAGGGGACGGAGAGGGAGATGTTCTTGAGGCCGGAGCTCGAGTCTTGGAAGTTGTAGCTAAGGTTTGTCACCTCGATCGTGGGCGATTTTTGGGCCATTATGAAGGTTTGTGTTGGTAAAGCTGTCGACAGCGAAATCTAAGGAGTATGAAAGTGAAGAACGGCAGAGAAAAGAGCACGAGTTTGGTCGTGAGAAGCTAAGAAATATTCAGAGAGGAAGGGAGGGAGATGTGAAGCAAGGGCAAAAAAGTAGGCGACGCATCATTCACACCGCCCACAAACTAAAGGCGTCATGACCTGACCCTCCGGCGATACTACGGGAAGACGGAGACCGAGGGGCCCAGAACCCAAGTGTCTTAACACTTTACCGCGCATTGGATTAGCAACCAAGTTAACCAAAGCCTGGCGGGATGGCGGGGGAGGGAGGGAAAAAAAAAAGTGCCCCTCATTCTCATTCCAGAAGGGCGAATGATGACACACACAGGGAGTACCTTAGGTACCTTACGTAGAGAGCAAGGGAGCCCCGCCATCCAATTGACTTTCAGGTTGGTCGAACCACTGGACGGACGGAGGGCACAGTCCCTGAACCGTCTCTCCGGGCCGCTCCAAGCACCGGGGCGGGGCTCTCCCCGGGGGAGCAAGCCACAGCCAGAACAGCCCAAGGTGCCTTACAGGGAAGCAGCCCCTCCCAACCACAATTAACGCCAAAATTCGCGACTTTTGCCAGCCCAGAGTCCTCCGACGCGTCTGATGTGCGCATTCAATTCACATCCCGGCTTCACACATCCACCACGCCGATTGACACTACGCAAAAGCTCTTTGCTACTCAGTCACATCACATCTACCGTCAGCAAAAGTCGAGAGAAACACAACTCATCTGCTGCAATGGTCACCCTCGAAGAAGCCACCACGCTTCTCCAAAAGCCAGCGTGTGTTCCTATTGATCTATAAACCCAGAAGCTCGCTAACCAGCTTCCTTGAACCACAGCGACGCAACATCGTCCTCGTCGAATCTCGTCCGCGCACCGTCATCCTACAAACCCCTCCGCACTTTTGACCTCCCCAAAGACCGCTCCTACCAGCAGCAGTATGCCGACGTCTATTTCCTCCGCCTCACCTCCATCCGGCCCGCCGTCGACGCAGTCGCAGCCGAGGCCTGGGACGGTACCGTCATAGGCGGCGAGGAGGCCCGCCATGTCAACCGTGTTCTCGACGTCCGCCAGGGCGAGCTGTGCTGGGTGACGGGGACGGTCTACATGGACATGGCATTGAAGCCCAATATCTTGGAGGACGTTTCCAAGGATGTACGTCCCATGACCTCTCTTATGCCACTCCCTTTTCAAGCTGTTTTCAAAGTCTCGCAAAGTCCCGGACTAACGAAGAAACACAGCGTTGGATCTCTGCTCCCATCTCCACGGACCGCTACTACTCGGACGAAGACAAGGACACAATCATGCTCGAAGACGACTCGGGCCGCATCCGCCTCGTCGGCGACATCCTCAAGTCCATCCACCTCGTCACGGGCACAATCATTGGCGTAATGGGCTCCGAAAACGCAAACGGCGAGCTCGAAGTCATCGACGTAAAGTTCCCCGACATCGCGCCCCAACCAACCCGCTGGACCCTCGCAAACGACCCCTCAGAAGACCACGACATGTCTGGCACACCGTCCCAAAAACGACCCTCCTCCAAGATCGCCATCGTCTCGGGCCTCTCCTTCTCAGGCACAGACGCCTCCTACGCCCTCGAACTCTTCCTCCTCCAAGAATATCTCCTTGGCGAAGCCCTCTCCCCAGCAACCCAATCCGAGCTCACCTCCATTTCCCGCCTCATCATCGCAGGAAACTCCATCGACAGCACCACCGCCGCCACGGCCGACACAACCACAACCACATCCGCAACCAACGGAAGCAGCAAAGCCTCGTCCACCGTCAAAAAATACGGTTACGACGCGAGCGCCTACAACCCGCTCCCGAGCCAGCTCTTTGACGACTTCCTCGCCGACCTCCTCCCCTCCCTCCCCGTCACCCTCATGCCGGGCACCCAGGACCCGGCCAACGCGAGCTACCCGCAGCAGCCGATCCACGCCGCCATGTTCCCGCGCTCGCGGCCCTACTGCGCCGCGCCCGACGCCGAGGAACCCGGCTGGCTCGACACCACGACGAACCCCTGGGAGGGCGAGGTCGACGGCTGGAGGGTTCTCGGCACGGGCGGGCAAAACGTCGACGACGTCTTCAAGTACGTCGACAGCGACGACCGGCTCGGCATGATGGAGGCCATGTGCAGGTGGCGGTGCAGTGCGCCGACTGCGCCGGATACGCTTTGTGAGTTTTGCCCCTTGACTTATCCCCTTATCTGGGGATGACCACTTGACTAATTGCGATCATTTCAGGGGCCTATCCCTTCCAAGACGACGACCCGTTCGTCATGAAGAATGCGCCGCACCTCTTCTTCGCCGGCTGCCAGCCCGAGTTCTCGACAAAGGTCATTGAGGGCGGCGACGGGCAGCAGGTCCGGTTGATTACGGTGCCGTCCTTTGCAGAGACCAAGGAGCTGGTGTTGGTGGACACGGAGACGTTGGAGGTTTCAAAGGTCAAGATCACGACGACTTCAGCAGCGGCATCATGATGGAGAAGAGAGAGAGAGAGAGAAAGAGAGCTGGGAATGGCTGTGGAGGAGAGCATATAAAAAGGTTTATGATTTGATATACCCCCACCCTCGAGCTATGAAGAAAAATGCAAACATCTCCATCATGGAGCGGAGATTCTGAGTTAATGGCTTCCAATTTTTTAAGGTCTAAAGATGAAATTCAACGCTGTGGAGGGTGCTCTATGAACCAATCGCCCGCTCAAAAGGGGCCGCAGGAGTGAAACGTCCCTATGCATCTGCGAATCCGGAGAAGAGACCAAATGCTACCGTCTCTCCCAAACCCAGCATCCAGATCCTCGTACGCCGACGAAGAAACGCAACTAACCGCAAAGCGAAGCAAAACCAAGAACCCAAAGCAAACCCCATTCCCAAATGCAAACCCACGCAATCAAAAAGTCCCATCCTGAAAGAGAAGAGAATCCTCCCAATCCTCATAGCAATAATCCTCTTCATCATCACCAAAGTCGTCCTGCTGACGGCGCTTAAACTGCCCATTCGTGGCCTCCCAAATTTTGCGGATCGCAGCCGGCAACGAGTCGAGCTTCTTCTGCGCCTCGCCCGCCTTGACGCTGCGGTACGACTGCATGACCCGGTCGTCGCGCCACAGGTCCTTCTCGCCGCGTTTAGCGCGACGGATGTTGGCCGCGTACTTCATGTTGAGGACGATTTTCTCTTGGCCTAATGGTCCTTTTCCAGGGCTATCACCTCCATCGCCACCGCTGCCGTCACCATCACCGCCGCTGCTGCTGACGCCCGTGTTGACGAGAATCTCGATAAACTGACACGGCAAGCCGCGGAGCGTGCGGACGACCTCGGAGGATCGCTCGAAAAAGTCGAGAAACGAGACGTCACCCGTGCGCGGGTCGCGCTGGGGCGTGATGTCGATGGTGAGGGTGTGGATGCGCGGGCGGATGGGCCGCAGGCCGCGGAAGACGTTGATGGCGTTGGCCATGCTGAGGCGGTAGGGCGCGTTGGCGCGGTTGGCCTCGGCGACGATCATGAGCTTGCGGAACTTGTGGCCGAAGCGGCGGATGTCAATGTCGGCTGCCGTGTGGCCGTCAGCCAAGAATGACGAGGACGAGGGTCTGTTGGTGACGACATCGTCTTCGTCAGAGTACTCGTCCGCGCTGTCTGCCTCGTAGTCGGAGAGGGCGTCGTTGTCGGTGGCAAGCGGGTGTTGGACCACGATCTCGTTCTCGCCCTGCGCGTTGAGGGCGGGAAGTTCGGCGGCGTCGCGGAGGAGGTAGAGGAACGTGTTTTCGCCGTAGAGGGTGTTGAGAGCCTCCTTTCTGACTTGGCGGCATGTTCGAATGAGGTCGGTGCGGATGCCTACTCTGTTCCGGGGGTAGACTGCGGACCAGCCCTGGTGGACTCGGATGGGCTCGTCGGCGACTAGGATGTACTTGTAGATATCCTCTCTGATCTCGAGGGGAATTCGAAGAAAGGGGCAAGTGCGGCTCTTGGGCTGCGGCTCTGGCTCCGACTCCGGGGTGGCTGTTCTTGATAAGATGCCACTGTAGCGGCCTGAACTGGGTCTCACTTGCCAGCTTCCAGGACGAACTACCTCTTTGCCCTTGTTGCGAGGGATCGTGGACTTGTTCTTCAGATCGGACCGAGAAGATTGAGACTGGAGAGGAGGAGACATCAAAGGAGCGCCCCAAGTGAAATGGGCCGTCGACTTCCTCGCAAAGGTTGCTCCATAATCACGCGGTGGGGGCCTCTCACGAACGGCATGGTAATCGTGAGCATTGGTGTTGCCGCCAGTTCTGCGTCGTTTGCTGGGTTGGATCGTGCCGTCGTCATTGCTGTCTTCTTCGACAACGGCAATGGACCGCTTGTGGCCTGCGATGACGATTGTAGTCTCATCTGGCTTGGGAGTCTTTGACTTTTTGGCTGAGGCGCGTTTCTCCTGCTTCTTCTTCGAAGACGCGGCCTTGGATGTCTTGCTTCGAGGTGCGCTTGCAGTGGCCGGCTTCTTGACCAGACCGGAACTCTTGGCCACGCGGGAGACCTTGGATGGAGGCATACTGCAACTGATAGTGGGATCGGGACTGACTGTGTCTGAAGTCGAATTCGGCGCTCCCGAAACCGGCGAGAGAATCAATACTTTAGATATATAGGCGTATGTCTGTGTAAGATTTCGTGGCAAATGACTTGAAGTTGTAGGAGTTCCCGTCAGTGCTACTTTAGTCAGTAAATGGTAAAGCTCACAACCCGCTGGCCCAATATCAAAGCATGCTTACCTTCCTTATTAGATTGTGCTTTGATCAAATCTTCAACCTGTTGTAGGATGAAGTGCCCGATAGGCAAGTCTCGTTGTCTTCAAAGCATAAAGAGGAAGAAAAGTCAACGGATAAATCAGAACGAGAGGCAAGAGCTACGAAGACTCCTGCTTCCTTTGAGACAATGGTTTCTTGAGGTAGTGAAGGGTGGGTAAAAGAGACTTGGAG